AAAATTTAATTTAAATGTATGGGTAGTTTAAAAAACTTACAAACTTGCAAAAAAAATTAAATGTCTTTAAGTGACTACATTATTCATAAATAGGAACAGATGGAAAAGAACATTTTGTTCCAGAAATGAAGGTATATTCCATACCCTTCCCTTAATAACAGATAAGAATTGTGTTCTTTTGTAGGAACATAGAGTAGATTAATGATCTGCAAAGGTCTAGAAAGCTCAAAAAAATTACTCAACTGTTCATGAAAACTTTGACAAAGGTGTCATACATTATGCTTTGTATATTATTCTATACACAGAGGTGTACCTCAGTTCTATCAGACCTCAAATAAGTTTAAAGTTAAAATCAGTGTCAGTAAAATAAATTATGGACCAACTTTGCCACTAATAAAAAAAATGTAAACTGTCAACAAGATGATGGTTTAGATTTAATAATCTTTTTTTAAATGTGTCATATAATAGCCAGCTTTGACAGGAGCATAATGGTAAGAAAATGAGAATCTTTGTGCACTTTCTGAGATACAGGAAGTCTAGAGAGCAATGCACTTCCTAGTGAAGTACCTAATAAATCTTATGTCCTAGCAGATGTACTTCTGGACCAATAACCCCAGAAACTACTTAAGGGACACAAATACAAGGACATCTGTGCAGTATTTTATGTGGTAGAAAGGAATTAGAGTCAGCCTGGATGACCATCACTAGGGGAATGTGTAAACTTACATTGTAATGCACACACACTCTGAAATTCTATTCACATTGAAGCATCATGTGTAGATATTTTTTAAAAGATGGTTTCAAGTTGGAAAAGAGAGAAGAGACAAGAATAAACAAAAGGAGGTTGGAAAGCAAGAGACATACAGGCATACAGAAAAACAGCATAACATCACTTATGTGAAAGAAGACAGACAGACACAAGGTGACACAGTGACATTCCTGTATCACGTCCATTTTGTGAAGCCTGTTGAGAAACAGAAACTAAATCAATTACAATTAAATCAATTGAAGAAGGAATATAAACAAAGCAAGAAACTCACAACTCCAAAGATAATCCTATGACACAATCTAAGTGTTATGGCACTCTGTCTTTGATTTAACAGCAACGACAACAACAAATGCTCCTGGAATGGATTGCATGATGCATAACTGCAGCAAGACCCTTGCTCTGAAATATATAGGCAATATCGGTGAAAGAAAGTTGGCAAAGCAAATGGGGTCGCTGAGAGAGCTGTGGTTCTGTAGGAGCATATCACCCTGACACTGATGCAGATTTGTGCAAATCAAATTACTTTTCTGGGGCTGGAGAGATGGCTCAGTGGTTAAGAGCACTGTCTGCTCTTCCTAAAGGTCATATGTTCAGTTCCCAGTGACCACATGGTGGCTCACAACGATCTATAATGTGAACTGATTCCTTCTTCTGGCAGATGTAAATGCAGATAGAACACTCATATACATAAAATAAATAAATCTTTAAAAAAAATTACTTTCCAGAGAACAATGAGTCCTAGATCTAGCTGTGAGGCAGACTCAGCCCATGACTCTTTTAAACGGGAGATGCTGGTGCTGCCCCACACTTGTAGTTTTACTCAGCTCTCTGTGTTGAATCTTCCACAACCAGCCTGGCATCAGGAAATAGCCAGAATCTTTCTGTTTTTTTTTTTGTTTTGTTTTTTTTTTGTTTTTGTTTCTTGACACTCCCACACAAGTATATAATGACTTGTTCTTTTCATCCCCTTCTTCCTATTGAACCCTCCTCTTCAGCCCAGAACCTTAAAGACTTGGCAAAACAGTTACAGCTCTATGTCAGAAAGCCTTACGTTGTTACCTTATCTCAACAAAGTAGCATGAGGAAAGGGGGTTCTAAAATTGCAACCTCTAATTTTGTGATTGGCATTATTAGTCCTGTACTACTCACACATCTGTATAAATTAACTTTATTCTGTTGATGAGGAAGCCAAAACTGAGTTTTGGAAGACACTTAGAGTCATACAAAAAAAATGGCAGCATCTATATGTGAATGTTTGGGACTTTGTGTATTTGCTTGTGTTTTTGAGACAAATCCTCATTGTACAGCCCAGGGCAGCCTTCACCTTGGGAACCACTTGCTTTGCCCTCAGCCACCTGTGCTGGCATTACAGGTATGAACATCACTGTGCTGAGTGTGCTGTTTATGTAATTAGATTGCCCTTATGCAGTGGTTTTGGCTTTTTTATGGGGCTGGTTATTGGCAGACTCAAAGAGATTCACTCATCATTGTAGATAGTAAAGGAACACATTGAAGCTCAGAGAGCAGGCAAGTCTTTGCTCCATCGGTATTTTGTTTCACTTAAGTGCTTTAGTAAAATCAAGCACGCAGGTGCCGCTGGAGGCCAGGTTCTCAGCTGCTGAACACTGTGCAAGCCCTTGGGGACAGAACGAGTCTTGCACATTTCTCTCCGTCACTTGTGAGGGTGGGAGAGTTTGTCTGACAGCAGAGGTGCGACTCTGACACAGTTTAAGATTGGTGGCATAATAAGACAGAGAGCCAAGGAGAAAGTGTGAATTAGAAAAAGAAATTATTTTTTTCTGTTCCCTGTAGCTGTAAATAACCTCACCAAATTCTACACTTCCAAATGTGGGCCATCATGTGCAGGAAGAAGAGTTTTCTGGGGCACTTTTGTTTTGAAGGACTTTGTCACTAAAGAACTGGGGTGGGTAGAGATGTGGTTTAAAAAACTCCTTTATCTCATGGAACTGATGATTTTCTTGACTTTTTCACCTCAGGCTGTAGACAGCCATCTAGCTACATCCTTCATCCCACCCAGGGCTCAAAGCAAGCAAGATACTCAATAGAGAAAGGCAGTAGTTATGTACTTCCATCCCCAGGATCAGGAAATTGATATGTAGAAGTAATATGCACTGAGGGAACTAATAGTTTTCTTTAGTGAGATATGGTTGGGTTAAAATAAATTTGGCCAAAGGAAAGTAAGTCCTAGTTGAAAAAATGAAAAAAAAATATTATAAAGAGTGGACAAGGACCAAATAAGCAGGGCCTTATGGAGACAGGAGTGCTGGGGCTTGCAACTGAAATTGTATTTGGACATCATCTGAGAACTTGCTACAAATATAGGATGTCAAGGCTCGTGCTAAAACCTCTGACTGAAGGCATGAAGTTTAATGAACGTCTTCCTGATGTTTGTTAAGTGTGCCGTGTACCAATTAAGGCATTTCCTAATTTTAGGCTCCATAGGTTACCAACTACAGGAAGTTTGGAATGTTGATGCTTAAAATTTTAGTTCCATTAATATATAAACTACAATCGCTGTGGAAATTGCCTTTTTCCAAACGTAACATCAAAAGTCGATACTCTCATTCAAGTTCTTCTGTGAATGTCAAGCCTGAGTCCTCTGAGCGCCCGGTAGCATGTAAGAGAGTATAAAACCACCGGCTCCTGACAGCTGTTTGGAGCTCAGCAACTCCCCATGTGTCAGGCTCCTGTCCTCAGTCTGGGTAGCAGAGACTTTCCTCTAACATGGTGAAGCCATGCTGTAGCAGGGCCAGCTGCATCCTGGCCCCAGAGAGAATTTTTTCACTGGTGCAACAAGTCATGTTTATGACCAGGCTGCAGCAAGAGCTTAGTCTGATTGGTATCAGAGAAACTTGAATGCAGTCTGAGCAAGCAGGAGGAAAACGACCTCGGGGCAGCCCACTGCAGCAGTCCATAAATAAATTGGCAGATGTGTCAACGGCTCACGTTAGTCCAGGAGTGCAGTTCTTTGGGGACTGTCGTCCGAAGACAGAGACATCTGTGGGTTGCCGGTCAATCTGGAGCACTTCTTCTCATTTTTCTGGGTGTGCTTTTGACAGGAGCTTAAGGGCAGTTCAATAAATTAAAATGTATTTACATGGCAATGAAGAATTATCTTGACATACTGAGAGTTATTTAATTACCAAGGTACTCTGCGTGCTGCTAAAGTTAAGACTGTGTCAGCCTTTCTGGGACAAATCTTTATTTTCAGGGCCATGTGGCTCAGCCAGGAATGATCCCCTGGGTGGGAGCTTGTCAGTTATAGAAGATGAGTCTCCTTGCTGACCCCCATTTCCATAGACAGCTCTAAACAGATCGGTAATCTCAATGTCAGACATCATGATGAAGTCAGCGCTGCCAAGGCCAAATGTCCTTCTTTAGGGATGTGGCCTTCCTCTCAGAGGAATTGTAAATGAAGTCATACCCCATTTGCAGTCTTCAAAGAGTGTCAGGGTTGCTGTCTGTCTGCATGGCATTCAGAGAGCTGTCTTAAGGCATCAAAAGGTAGGTGTGTGGTGTCCATGCTGGCAGCAACAAAGCCCAGTGGGTAGGCAGCGACCTCATATTAACGGGACAGAGGCAATTTCCACACACTGTACTCTATAGCAGCCCTGTGTCACTGAAGTCCAGCAAAGAAGACATTCTAAGAAAGACAGGAGCTGGCAGCTCAGGGTGAAGTCCCAACTTCACCTGGAAAAAGAAAAGGGTCAGTACCTAGGACCTCCCAGAACTCCTGTTTCCAAACTGAAGGATTTTGATGAGGGACAAGAGATGTGAGTAGTGACTTAGATCAAGGAGGGTAATTGTTATAAATAAAAGCGGGGTAGCAGGGCTAGGTATACCTCTACACCCTTCTTCTTAGAAAGTAAACCAAATGGTGAAGGAATTGATACTGTAACCAGTGGCACTGCACAGACCTGACTCTCTCATCAGCACCACCTGGTTATGATGAAGGAGTTTTACACAGTTCGGGAAACTGTGTCACACATCTTGCTGCCATGTAGATGTGAGTCAACAGACGTAAATGTCCAGTTCTTCTTTTCTTCATAAACACATAGGTTTGGATGTCTAACAGACTTGGTTTAATCTACTGCTTCTCTGTTTGAAAAACTCTATTTCTCCAACCATTACTTCTGCATAGTCATGGCCCCTCCCTCCAGAAGATGATAAAGTGTTAAGCCACTGAACTATCCCAAATTCATGCCTGTAGGTCCTGACATCTTGACCATGGTGGTGGGATCCGACATCAGCCGCTGTCCAAATACCCCATGGCCCACCTGCCGTGGCTACCTGCATAAGAGGACTCACTCGGGCTTTGTGAAGGGCTGGAGGAAGAGGTGGTTTGTGTTGAAGCATGACGGCTTTCTCCTCTATTACAAACACAGAAAGGTAAAGTGGGAGGAGGGATGGCAGCTGATCCGGGTAAGAATAAGAGGCTTCGGGAAGCCAAACCTCTGTGGACTATCTCATGTCCAAGAATTACTATCTCATGTCAAGGAGGTGTAGTGCAGGAATCTGGAAATCGCACACTCCCCTCTGACCACCCAGGAGTCGTCCTTCCTTCAAAAGTTTGAGAATTGTAATGTATGCTCTCTTCTGCTACATAAATCAAGTCGTGTCTTTCTTCTCCTTTACTTCTGTTTTGATCCTCTTCACAGATTCCTTTATCACTGTGAAGAAGATGAGAACAAAACTCTAGTACCTGTACCATTGGTTAATCTAAATAGATCAGGAAAAGCATAGCTCCTCAGGCCACAGGGTAGGGAGCATATACTGTGGTTGGTAGAACTCTGTGCTGTTGAGTTTTCTGAGGCGGAGAACTGGGCAAGTCGTGCGGAATATCTATTTAACCTTCCATATTTCATGAGAATGGACTGTCTAACCCTAGGGGAAGGCTGGGATCACAGACAGAATAGTCTCAAGGCTGTGCTAAAACAGTCTTCCTCCCAGATGTATGTGACTGAGTGAGTCTGAGTGTGAATGGATGGGCCCAAGTTCTTGTAGAGCCCTTTTTCTTCTTAATTTTTTAATTACAGCTATTATCTTTTATTTTTTTATTATTGGTTACATTTTATTAACTTTTATCCCAGCTGTATTCTGCTCCCTCATTCCCTCCCAATCTCACCCTCCCTCCCTCATCTCACTCATCTCCTCCTTGCCCCTTTCCAAGTCCACTGATAGGGGAGGACCTCCTCCCCTTTTATCTTACCCTGTTTTATCAGGTGTCTTCATGACTGGCTGCAAAGTCCTGTGGCCTAGCAGGGCTGCTCCTCCTTTGGGGGGAGGGGAGGTCAAAGAGCCAACCATTGAGTTCATGTCAGAAATAGTCCCTGTTCCCCTTACTAGGGTACCCACTTGAATACTGAGCTACTGTGGGTTGCGACCGAGCAGAGGTTCTAGGTTATATCCATACATGGTCCTTGGTTGGAGAAACAGTCTTATATAAGACCCCTGTGCCCAGATATATTTGGTCCTTGTGGAGCTCCTGTCCTCTGAAAGACTCTACCTAGCAGTGTATCAAAGCAGATACTGAGACCCATAATCAATCCTTCAGCAGAGTGCAGGGAATCATATGAAAGAAGGGGGGATTAATATGACCTGGGCAGCCCTTCTTTAGGTTACATCTAAAACACAGTTTGCATTTTGTTATCATGTGTATTTTTTCAGCCAGATTCAATCTAGTGTCTAATTCTGTTAAGCAAACACAAACATGCGTGAAAAGCACAGCAGAGATTTCACATGGAACCCCTACTTTCCAGCTTCTCATGAACTATTCTCAACAGTTGTCTGGAGGCAAATCGACTCCTTGTCATAAGGAGCAGGCCCACTGTCCCACTCAACCGAGGATGCACTGTACTCTGCAGCCTTGTGAGCTGCTGGCTTTGCTCCAGGGACATTCACAACCCACCTCTAATCAGGGTTCAAAGCTAGAATTGTGGCTACTTACCTCATTCATGACATAATCTTATTTTTTTCTTCTGTCTTTATTTTACATTTCGTGTGTGTGTATGTGTGTGTGTGTGTAAAGACATTTATGTGCATGTATAAAAAAAGCTTACTTTCTTCCTGAAAAAGAAAAAAAAAAGACAGTAAAGAAATCAGTGCAGGGCAAACGTGAAAGATGATGTCCTATTAAATTACTGCGGGGACTTTCTAGTCCTGCCGTGTGAGCTGCTTACTGCAAAGTGCTCTGCCTTTCATAAGAAAGTGAACCATACAGCTCCTTTAAGCAACTTTGTCTCCCTCCAGTGCAGGAAAATAGGATTTTCTCTAAACAGGAGGAAAAATTATTATCAGTAGTTGGTTTCTATTTTCTTGAGTATTACAGTGGAACAGACAAGAAATTTTCAATCTAGAAAACATTTGTGGAAACATTGGACATGAGTTTCCAATCTGTGGAAACATGTACATTCATGTTTCAGAAGCCTGGAGGAGTCACCGAACTGTGCCTGAAGGCTCCCACTCTCCTTCCCATTAGCTTTTGAATAGGCAGGAATGTAGCTCTGGAAATTTGATTTTTTGAAAAGGTTTTAAGAGAATTCTAATTTGGAAATTGGGTGAATAACACAGTTAAATGTCTTCTAACCTAAAGTCAACAGACAATGAAAAGAAAGAAAGAAAGAAAGAAAGAAAGAAAGAAAGAAAGAAAGAAA